TTATTTTATTTTTATTTTTATATAAAATTTGTTTCATTTGTTTTAGTAATTTTGTTATGGAAAAATAGAAAGAGGTTCTTCAATTATTGTTCGTAGTGTAGGTTAGGACGAACGTGTTAAGTGTGCAAAGATAGTAGAATAATTCGTTACGATAAGGTAACCAGTTTGCTCGCTCATATTCCAAAAGACATGTTTCGTTGACTTCCTGTATACCGCAATGTTCTTTCTTCTGTAAAGGCATATGCAGTACGTCATTATCAGTCTCCCTTTTTATCACACGTGCATAACTTACACGTAGGATGATATGGAAATACACGTGTCAACGTCCTTATTTTCGAAGGAACTTCTGTTGAAAATATTCGTTACAGCGGGGTAATAATTAGAACCGCGAAGTTAGCGTTATTACGCAGTTATCGATATTTTTACATTTTTCGGTTACTTTATGCCTTAAACTTTATCTGAAAAGACTCGTGGTGGTGAATTTTTCGTTCAGATCGGAAATAGATATTTTTCTCATTAAATTACGCGTAAAAATAAGTTTAATGGGAAAAAATTTGGCACTCTTTGTACTATGGGGAAATCAGGGGATTCCATAGAAGTTTCGGAGGAGGTGTAACCCTTGGCTCGGCCCGACTGACCGCATGGGAGACGGTGCCTGGGTCCGCTTGGATCCGTAATAACTATGCTCGAAGCACGTTTTAGACTTTATTTTTTTATTTTAATTCCCTATTTTATATCTTTTATTCTACACTTTCTACCATTTTCTAAATAATATAGAGGTATAATACAATTTTAGATAAATAAATAGTTGCTATCAATTTTTACAATTTACGTTTACACTTACAGAGTACACGTGATATATATTACATATACTTAGTCACATACTTTTTTTTGACAATTCACATACTATACATAGATAATATTGAAGGGTGTCAAGGTGCTGTGATTTTTGTTCAACAATTTTGTTTACAATTAATTGAGTATATATAATTAGTTGTGTGATACTATATTATAGCACAGAAATTTGATTCTGAGACATATTTTCTTTGTAACTTTCATAATATCACAGCAGCAACAATAATATACTACAGATGTATATAATATTCTATATATTTTATGTCTTGTATAGTTAGTAGCTACATATCCTCTTTTAAATATTTAACAATAATAGTAATATTCTATTACTATTCTAAATTAATATAATTTAATATAATATTCTATATATTTTATATGTTTTATATA